CAGGAGAGGAGACTACGGCGCGACAGTAGTGTACCGGAAAGCTTTTAGGGTATGGGGAGATAATAGGTGGGTAATAGACCTCCTTTCTTGACGCTGGTGGACGCTGATAGACGCTGGCCAACGCTAGAAGACGCTGGTGAACGCCCGCAGGCGCTAGATCTACTTCCCCAATAGCTAAAGCTGCCGGACGTTGAAACCCTAGTGGACGCTGCAGTGAAGTATGAACGCAGCTTGAAGATCATCGCTGATGGGTTATCGTCGTTATCCGGGCAGTTGATTAGCCTGCCCCAGGTGTCGCGACGCGGCTGCAGCGCGTCACGACGTGGCGATCAGCTGTTTCCACCCTAATTTTGCAATTTTTTTTCCTAATTTTCACTGCATTTCCTATTTTTTCGAGATAATTTACGTTATTGTCTTTATGAAGTGTATTAACCCGCGGATTCTTTCATTTTCTCTCGTAATGATGTGTTTTTCGCGATTTTCTTTAGGCATTTGTCTAATTGTTTGTTTAATTGTTCGCAAAAGTTATAAAGATTCCAATTATAATTTACCTTGTGAAGACAAGGAACTGCTAACCTTGAAAAACGCAGCCAAAAGCAGTGAAAAGTAGGGAAAAATGACTAAATTAGGCTGGAAAAAGCAAATAGTTCCTACGCACGCGGTCGCTGCTGCAGCCGCGTCTGCGGCCCGTTAACGACCGCCCTAATCAACTGCCCGGATGACGAGGTTACCACGTCTAACTTCTGCAAACTCCAACCAACCACTGACAAAATTTGGCTGAATTTCTCAGTGCATGGTGAAGTATCACTTACCACGTCCAAGGCACAGCTGTGATATCGCTAGATGAGCTAGCTGATCACCGTTAGAAGAAAGCATCACCTGGAAAATCACTAGTCTTTACAAGTCACAGACACAATTTCATGAAGGGACCAAAACATCGCGTCACCTTTGATATGCCGACGCTCTTCGAGAATTTGTGGATCAGCCGTACCTGTAGAAGACGAATCATTTCCTCACGAGCGATAGTCGTGCGGAATGAATCGAGAACCTCGACCAACCTTGATAACTAAAAGACCACAATGACTTCAGACTGTCATTGAGACGTCAGAGGCAGTTGAAATGCCTCCTGTTTCCAAATTCCCTTAATGGAACCATACATATTGGAGGCCGATGCAACCGCCACTGCCGTCTATTTCAAGATTTCCAAATACAGCTGCCAGATGTACAACATAGTACGTACAAGGCAACGCTTGCTGGAAAACAGGCAGTTTCTTTGCCACCAAATGTACTTCCGAAATATCCAACGAAGAGAGAAGTAGAAGAAACTGTAAAAAAGCTTTTGTAGAGGACAACGGCAAAAGAAGAAATATTAGTATGCCTCATAATAGTATGCCTAATAATAGTATGCCTCACCGATGGCTCGATCATTAGTCGCTTGAAATTGGTCTGCTTCACAGCGTCCTCAATTTGACGAAAAAGGAACGCGGACTCCCTAGAGCCGTCCAAAATGACTAGAGCTTTCCGAGAATCTTTATCCTGAACTTTGCACTATTTTGACGGAACAAAGTTATATTCATTTCAGGGAAGAAGTTTAAAGGTAGGTACACCAGTACCCCAGAGATGAGGAGAGCGTGCCAAGGTTTTTCTTGCGCCGCAACAACAGCGTAACTTTCAAAAGTCTGAGCAGAAAGGGGTGAGAGGTGTACTGACTGTCTCTTCAACCATTCGCGATCTCTGCTTTTTCTGCCCGCGTCTACAACTGAACCTGTCAGGCGTCACTGCGCTCCCATCTTGCGCACGCCTTTCGTCCATACTTTGCAGCAGCGTCCACCAGCGCCTACCAGTGTCCATCAGCGACCACTAGCGTTCCGAGCATCCGGCAGCGTAAGCGACTAGGAAAGTATAGATATTGATCTAGCGTCTGCCAGCGTCCGCCAGCGACCAGTTGCGTCTAGATCGG